CTCCCCACCTGAGGCTCTTCCGCAAGAGGAACACCGGCCAAAGATTGGCCTCAGCCTGAAACTGGGTGAGTCTAAAAGATCTTTTACCTCATTACAGGATGAACAGACACACAGCATACCCATGTAAATATGAATTCATTAATCGATTAGTTGATGGGCAGAAAGTAGCAAAATGTTCAATAATTGATAAAAAAAATTCATAACAAGGAAATAAGTTTTTTGCATCTTTTTAAAGTTGCATTCTATAGACAAATAATTGTTTAAAACTGGTTTTAGGGTAAAAAAAAGAATAATAGGTGATGTGTTGCTTTTCTTCAGGTTTTGATCTTGTCTGAATGTAGTCAAGGTAATTTGGCACCTGCTACACTGTTTGGTTAGTGTGAATTGGACTGAAGGAAAAGATATTTCTATATTTTAATTTATTTTGAAGCTAAATAACTTCATAGGGACAAATCTATGATACACAGATTCCTACATGGATCAGGCCGTGTTCCACAGAGTTTAACAAACTCTGACTCCCGTCCACTTCATTGTTTCTGTCACCTCAGAGTGTCTTCACTTTGCGTGTGAGCGGGTATTTAAAGAAAGCCATCATCAATGGAGCTCAAATACCAATATTCACCATGGCAACAGATAATTAAAGAGCAGAGGCCCAATTTTCATCTAGTGGACTGAGGAATATGAATATGAATCATGACATTCGTCTGAAAAACAGAGGGGACTTATTTTAATCTGTGTCATCTGCTCAGGCATCATTTATCAAACCTAATTTCCCTTTTAATAGATGAAATCTGGCAAAATTTCAGTTTTACATCTGATGTTTTCTTGAATCAAAATTTTAATCAGACAGTAACAAAATGGAAGTTATGACAGTGTTTTTAGTGTTTTTAATCAGCTACATTTTTGCAAGGTAATGTGCCTGAATATGAGCTTTGATATGAACTATATGAATGTCAGGCAGGTGTTTCAATTGTTTCAACATTTTCAGATGCTGTTAAGGGCGTTTAAATAACTCTGGGGTTGCAGAGACAGAATTCTTGCTCCTTAACTACAGACAGAACAGTAGTTAAACTTGCCCTTGTCCTTGCCAGGTGCCACGGGAAGCCCCAGTCAACCCAACGCCGGCAAGAGGAAGAAGCTTCCGGTGGACAGCGTGTTCGACAAATTTGATGACGAGGAGGCCGATGAGCAGCCGCGCAAGAGGAAGCTGGTGCCCCTGGATTATGATGACGACAAGAGCCTCGGGGTGGACGGTGCTGGACTTTCCAGCATAAAGGGAGCCAATGCTGAGGAGAAACGCAAACACATCAAGAGCCTGATCGAAAAGATTCCCACCGCAAAGCCCGAGCTCTTCTCGTACCCACTGGACTGGTCCATGGTTGACACGGTGAGGAGAAGAGGGACAATTTGTGGCATCTCACTGAGTGTGTCTTATTTTTAATCCATTTGTAATTAGGCAAGTTAGAAAAGAAAACCTGTGCTAAGAATATTTTACTCGCAGGATTTAAATGATCAAGGAGGGGTCAATTCACAACCTTATTTTCTGCTTATTGCTAAAAAATAATATAGAAACGGTGAATATTTCTCTTTGTCATCCCTTTTTCCACAGACGTTAATGGAACGGCGTGTTCGTCCCTGGATCAATAAAAAGATCATTGAGTACATCGGAGAGGAAGAGCCAACGCTAGTGGACTTTGTCTGCTCCAAGGTAATAGTCATGTCACTAGTTGACATCTGTCTTAGAGAAAGTGGAACAATTAAAATGTAAACTTTCTGATATTTTCCTCTGTATACTTTCAGGTGATGGCCCACAGTACACCGCAGACTATCTTGGACGATGTTGCCATGGTGAGCAAAGTCACAGTTTATAGATGCTTGTTTATTTGGTTTCTCTGTGATTGTATTTCTTGTCAGGATGCAGGGGTTTTTTTTTAACCTCTTTACTAACCTTCTCAATCAAATTAAACTAAAATACACCTCATTAGGTACCCCTGTTCAGCTGCTTAATGTCAATATCTAGTTAACCAATCACATTGCAGCACCTCAATGCATTTAGGTATGTAGACCTGATCAAGACAGCCTGCTGAAATTTAAACTGAGCATCAAAACTGGGAAGGAAGGTGATTTAAATGGCTTTGGACATAGCATAGTTCTCGGTGCCACAAGAATGGTCTAAATATTTCAGAAACTGCTGATCTGCTGGGATTTTCCCATATAACCACCTCTAATGTTTGAAAAAGAGAAAATATTCAGTGAGTGACAGTTCTCTGGGTTCAAAAGCATTGTCAGAGGAAAATGGCCAGACTGCTCGAGCTGATATGAAGGCAACAGTAACTCAAGTTACCCACTTGTTACAAATACAAGTATGCAGAAGAGTATCTATGACTACACCGTGTCAGACCGTGAAGCTGAATGGGCAAAAGCAGCAGAAGACCACTCCTGTCAGCTAAGAACAGGAAACGGAGGCTTGGATCACACACAGTCTTATTAAAATCAGACAACAGAAGATTGAAAAGTATTGAGTGATCTACTGAATCTTGAGTTCTGCTGCAGCAGTCGTATGGTAGGATCAGAATCCTAGCTTATATCAACAGTTTTCTAAACACATTTTAGATCCCTTAGTACCAACTGAGCATCACCTAAACTACGCAGCCCACCTGTGCATTTCTGCTGACCATCCGTGTAAAGTGTACTCGCCTTCTGATTCCAGGAGGATGTGTCACAAAGCTCGTATCATTTTAAACTGGCTTTTTGAACATAATAGTGAGTTCACTGTACACAAATGGGCCTCCAGTCACCTGATATCAAACTAAGAGAGCACCTTTTGAGATGTGAAAAAGTGCAAGATTCACATTTTATCAGCAGAAATCTCAGAGCAATGGTTCTAGCACCTTAGTAAATCAGGGAAATCAGGAATTAAGGCAATTCTGGAGGCAAAAGAGTGCAACAGGTATTAGCACTGTGTACCTAATGAACTGAAGAATATGTTAGTTCCATCTGATTTAAGATGTGTGGGGAGAGATTTATGAGGTGAGATTTCAGGCGCACCTCTTATCGATCAAGGTGAGTGCCAGATAAAAATGTAACCCTTTAAGGCAACTGAAATTGTAACATTTGACTAAGAGTTCAAGATCTTTAAAGAAACGGGCCTTGAAATGTTTTAATGTCTCTCATTCGATGGCACAAGTAGAGCCATGTCAAATGAGATGTATTTTAATTAACAGTTCATGGTCAGTATTTTAACATATTCACCTTTTCCACATACACGTCATGAGTTTAGGTTATTCCTCTAAGTTTCTTTCGATATCTAAATTTCCTTTTGTTCCGGGTCAGGTTCTTGATGAAGAAGCTGAGGTCTTCATAGTGAAGATGTGGCGGTTGCTCATTTATGAAACTGAAGCAAAGAAGATTGGGCTGGTAAAATAATCGTCGGCCGAATGAAGATGAATTCCTCTTCTCCTTTACCTTCATTGTGTATAATACTGTAGCGAATTTATGTCACCCCAGAAGACGTGACTGACCATACCAGTACAGACTGTAACTGCAGATTCTGCTCATTCTCACATTTGCACCAGTTGTTGGGTCTCCTTTCTTTTCTTTTCTTCTTCTTCTTCTTCTGTTTAAACATACTCAGGCTGCATCCACCTCCTCCACTCTGCAGGTGCTGATTGTGTCTGTGTGCTTTTGTGTATATACAGTTTGTCATTATTTGGTTATGAAGAAGCTACAGCTCTGGCCACCCAGGGTCACTGTGTTGGAGATGAGACCCTTTAGTCCCATACTTTTTTTTTTTAATACATGCCAACACACACTGAGTGAGAACAGTTTGCAGGTTTGCTACAAACAGTTCACCATTTCTCAAACTATTCTTTTGACTTGTGAAATTGGGCTTACAGTTGAATGTGGGTTGGTTAAGTAGACACAAACTAAAGCGTATGAATGACTACAGCTATGATGTTTTTAAAATAATTACAGGGGTATTTATTAAGGGTTTTTGGATGCAACTGAATTTTATTTCTGTAATCAGTACACACAAATTCTTCCCCCTCTCCCTCAATTTCTTGTCACATTCCTGACGAACTGGCATGTTGTTTTCAGACCATCTCTAAAACATCTAGTTGTCATTTGAAATGTGTCTACTGACAAGACCCATAGGCACTGTGTCATCCTCAATGCTGTAAAAGCACACGTCATAACCACTATAGGAAAATGAGCTAAGAACGAAAACAATTGAAATTGTGAAGATGCTCTCCATTTGTTTTTGTATTGGTGAACATTTGAATAAATAATTTTTATAATCTTTTTTTTTTACTTTTTTGGTTTTGCATTAAATCACAACCATTCATTTGAGTTCATGTCCTTAAATATGGAGCTGGATTTAGGGTTAAGGGCGGGGGGTTGTTCCCTTTCAACACCTGGGCTAACACAGACAACCATTCACACTTATGGGCAATTTAGAGATTCCAATTAACTTATCCCGACTAACTGCATGTCTTTAGACTGTGGGAGGAAGTCAGAGAACTCACGCAAACTCTATACAGAAAGATCCCAGCCTGATGGTGGCAACAGTGCTAATCACTGCGCTGCCTGTATCAGAATTCAACTCCTAATGAGCAGAATAAATAATAAACCATAGGGGCTTAAAGTTTCAAACTAAAATGCAAGAAACTTGAAAAGCAATGACTTTGTAACAAGTCTCCTAATTTAGAAAAGAAAATTCCCTCCAGTTCCCTCCACATAAGCAATCTGAGGTCTAAGTTTTCTGAATATTAAATCAATGTTGAGCGGTTTTGGCATTCATACATTGATATACAGTCAAACCTATCTCCAGTTGGCTTCATTACAATCTCTCCATTTGAAAAAAACAAAACAAAACAAAAAAAGGCGAGAGTAACCGACAAGATTTACCTTGAATTCATCCAATAATAATTGCTGCTTTTTGGGAGAATAAATGTTATTTCTTGTTGGTGGACCAATTTAATTAAACTGACAAAAAGGCATTGAGATCAAAACTTCCAGATCTTTATTGATACGATGGGAGCTAAACAAGAGCCAGTAAAAACCCTTTAACTGGAAGAGAATCAGCACATAAAGTCACCGCTGGCCGGTGTAGAGACAGACGAAGCATATGCGTTTCCCCTTCAGTCAGTCACATCCAGCGAGCAGCCGGAGATAAAGCGGCGTGGATACTGAAGACACCGGGCTCTTAAAGCAAGAGGTAAAATGAAAGGCCACAGCTTGAAAACAGCTTTTCTTGTTTTAGAGTTATTTAATCAAATGGGGTACTTTAAAATAAAAACTATGTGATGTTTAACTTGTAATTTAACCATCCTTGTGTCCGTGTCTGGTTAAAAAGACCGCGTTTCAGTTACCTTCTCCTGAGACAAACCTCTCTTGAACAAACTGGGATGTTGCCAATAAAAATAGTAACACCAGTTAATGGTTGCAATGTGAAAGTTAACATCTGTTGGACTGGGTGACTGAGGCCAGGTCTGTCCACGTTTCTTTTTCTTCTTTCCTCCTTTGATGCTTTTCTCCCCACCAGCTTTCCAAAGAGGACCGACTCTTAGTCCTCTGCTTTGGCCTCCATCTCCTCAGCGTCGTCGTCTCCATCCACCTCGGCGTTCTCGCGCTCTAACCTCTCCAGCTGCCGGGCGAGCTCCGTCTCATCCGTGTCCGTCACCACCTTAGGCTGCAGGACAAAGTTTACAGTTTAAGCATATTGATCCTTTGACCAGATGAGCTAAAGACAAACACGATCACAAAAAAAAAAAAAAAAAAAAAAAAGGAAATCATTCACCTCCATCTGGATATTAAACACGCCCCTCTTCTCTTCAATCTTCTCCTTGATAGCAGCCATGGCCTGGTTGAGGACAGAGAGGCCCTCTGTGCGCTCCAGGGTGGTCGTCGTCATCACATAGCGAGGGGGAGCGATCAGGTTGATCTGTAGAAGGTAAACGCCATGAGAGAGGGATCCAAGTAGAGCCTACAGCTAGAGACTTTTTACTTCTTGATGGAAGAGAGAAGAATTACCTTGATGGGCATGGCCTCTGTGGAGCAGCCTAGCCCAGCCCTCAGAGCTTCTTTCACGGCGTCGATCCCCTCGTAACCATAGCACGCCACTTCAATGTCTGCACGAGGTAGAGGAGGTTATCTTCACATTTCTAATTTATTCCTAAGTCCAACTGAGAAACACTGTGAGTAAACAGTCACCTGCTCTGATTTTGACAGCCTGTGGAGTGAGTCGCCTGTTGATGTTATCAATCAACACATTCCTCTCCTCCTCTGTTAAATCCAGGCCATCCAGAATAGCAGGATCTCTGCAGAAAGCCATCAAAATGTAAATGTGTGCACACACTGAACAACCTGTGTTTCATTTTAATAAGAGGTGCTGAAAGGAGAACTTACGATACAGCCTGTTTGAAGACATCATAAGCGCCGTATCCTGGCCGCTTGTATTTCTCATCGAAGACCCATGCGGTGCGCTGGTACAAGCTCTCTAGCTGCTCGTCCTTACTGTACTCCAACACCTCTGCCACGTGTCGCAGGATGCTGTAAACCTGCAAGCACTTTCAAAATCAGCTCAGCGCAAACAATAATGTAAAAACAAACAAGATAGACGTTTACAATTTCTTACAAATACACGTCTCACAATATTATAATGAACGCCTGAACCAAATGACCACTACTTTGACCACAACAAGGCTCAAAGGCAAGTTCCATCTACTACAAGGAAGTCCTCTCCAGGCTGGGCAACTTGCACCAAAATGACCGAGACAGATAAAAAGCCTTTGACCAACTTACAGTTTTAGATTTGGTGAATTTATCCTCACACTTGATGGCCTCCTCTGGCGAAACTCTTCTTTTTGATAAATCGATGTATCCTGAGAAGAAAACAGAAGGAATGCAAAAAAAAGCTGTTTTAGTGCAGCAAGTAGTTTCTTACGATTAGGATTAACTAACAGGGAGGGATTCGATGGCCACTTGCTGGTCTAAGTTTCAAAATGTGCTCGTCTTTATTTCCTCATTACCAGCTTTGCATTTCCATCCTGTGTCTCTACTCGAGTGTCGGTACATGAATCACAGGTCAAATCTGCACAACTATCTATCTATATAAAGAAAATAGTCACGTAATACGAGTCAGATGAGCTGCATATTTTGCGATTAGCAGAAAATGTCCAGTTCAGTAGCTCGGTTCAAAGTGGTCATGCTTAATTCATGTTAGTTTTGTTTTTCTTTGAATGTATGAAATATGCCGATGTGTTATAAACTCAAAAATCCTCATCTTCATTCATCTTATAATGAGCCTCAGTTCACCCACTCTCTCAAACAAGCTGTTTAAGGCAAACTTGCATCTGATTGGGCTGCCGCTGGTGGGTGGAGCTGCAGTTCCCACAGAACTGTTGAACAGATAAAGATATCACCTCTTAGTGACATCATACAGAGCCGAAAGCACAAGAAGGGTCTGAAATGGTGCATTTAAAAGCAGCCTGAAGCCTGAGCTTTAGGAATTACTCATACATATGGTGACCTCATTAGGTCCCCTTTAATTATTCCAAATTAGATATTCTGTGTGTCATGTGAGACTGTCCTGACATTAAACTGGTGAATGCTATAACATAATGCAAGTTATTGATCATATTACCAACCACAGCCTGTCTCAGTCCACCTGATGTCACAGAATAACAGCTTCAATTCAAAAAAGGAAATGTGGACCTCATTTCATATGGTTTTTATTCCACCACTGCACTGCAGATCCGACACACCGCCAGTTTCAACTATACTAGTCTACACTCACCCTTCTCTTTGTCTACTCGGATGACGACCACGCACTCGTTGCGGCCTATGCGGATGAGCTTGTTGATGGAGCGGATACGTCGACGCGACAGCTCGCTCAAGAGGATCATGCCCTCGATGTTGTTGTACTCCAAAAGGCTGACGTAGGCGCCCATCTCGGCGATGGACCTCACGTTCACCATCACGACATCCTCCACCTCTGGGAACCGGTGCTGGTAAAATCGACAGCTGAGCCCCGGCATTGCTGTGAGGTCAGAAACAGTTAAGAAGACAGGGGGAGCTTAACGTCTGCAAGTCATGACACAAATCTTCACTTTGCAGTTACACTGTGAAAAGTACTGCTCGGCCTGTAACTTGGTACAGTTTTTATTCTAGTTAATAAAAAATAGTCAATAACTTGTAACTAGCATCTCTGCCTCCACTGCTTCAGTTTTCACCAAAGGTTGTTTAAAAAGAAGTCCCACAACTAAACACAATCAAAGCTCAACATTAAATTAGCAGAGGACCATGTATAAATGATTTCATTCTGGTTTTCTTTGTCTTTTTTAATCTCAATCATAGTAATTTGTGAATAATCTGTCACACCATCCCTCTGACAATCCTCCTTTTAGATGTAGTGAAAAAGACATGCAGAGCACGTGACAGAGCAGATGCTAGAGACAGAATGAGAGGATCTGGTGTGGTGACCCCTAAAGGGAGCAGTCACCTACAACGTAACCTAAGTAAAGGATTCATGACCCATTTATGCTTGTGCATGGTCTATTACGTGTTAATTACTTAATGGTTGGGAATCAGTGTTTTATATGTGGGGTCAGCCACAAATTATAGAGCCAATGATTATTATTCTCTCACTAATAAAATACAAACTATGCTGTGAAAAAGTAGACAGAAATGCACAAGAGGGCTCAAAAATACAGAATCAATTACATTACAATACAATCGTAATAGTTGTGGGCTGCGTCCACACGATGTCTAATTACATGTCAGGTTACAACATAGGCTTTCAACGCAGAAGCACAAATCCCTTGTTACCAGGGCACATCACCATGTTAACTTCTAGATTAGCTTGTATGAAATCACTGCCTAATGACCAAACAAACTCTCCTTGAAACAGCGTCATCATTCCATTCAAGATCTCCTGGACATTTTTCTGTTACAAACACTTATACTGCAGCAGCCGTGCTGCTTTCGGCCTGTATTATGTGTATGACCACTTTATATTCTTCTAATATCACAGTTTTCTCCTCTTTAAAATCAACGTCCCTGCTGGCAGTAGGCTTATCCAGGTTTATGACTGATTGGATGCTGCTAATGCCAGCTCTCTCATGTAACCGCACTTGTAGCTAGATTGAGATGACAAATAAGGGGACAGACTTGCTATTCCCCAAATCTTTTGCTTTTAACATCCTCTTGTCCCTGTAACCTGAGGACAGCAGCCTACCCCCTGGAGTGTTTGACCCTTAGATCCTACCACCTTTGTTTTCCCATTCTTTGATCTCATCACTCCTGATTGTTGTCTTTAAGACTCTAGATATTGTATCTTCTGCTTCTGTTTAACATTTACATATAAATCATCGTCTAGTGATAGTCCAGTGTGTGAATGTGTGTGTGAATGGGTGGATGACTGAATGTGTAAAGCGCAAAGTTTAGAATTCGCTTTAAAATTCTTGTTTTAACATACAGAGCACTAAATGGCCAGGCTCCAGATTACTTATCCAAGC